ACGATGGACACTAATGTATGCTGTGTGTTCAAGTAACAGGTAACTTGTGGCGTAGGCACGCTCATTCATGATTGAATTATACTATCTGGAGTTTGTGGACAGGTGGCATATTCGTTAAAGAAGCATTAACAACTTGAACCGAATGATGTCTTTTTTGATCTTCTATACAATCATAGAAATGTTGCAGAATTTAACAGGAAAATGCAAGTTCAATTCGTGTTAATGGTGTGTGGTAATATTTTCGTTTTCACATTACATGCGCGTTATTTACAATGATATTTTACATCGCATATTTCTGGTTCAAATATCACTCTGCCTGGAACACTAATTAAACATTACTCACCGGATTTTGGATAATAATATACTTTTTAGATTTTAAGAGAAAAGATCGGAGCGAACAAGATGATACTGCTAATATTCGGAATTAATGTTGTCCTTTTAATACGGGTTATTGTTGGCTCAAAGCCCTCGTTCTATATGCGAGAAGAACTCAAACTCAAAATACCACACTCCGTTTTAGGGGTGATGTTAAAAGTGATGACAATGAGCAATCAACCCATTTAACGGATAGAAAACTGAAAAATGAATAAAATGGAATAGATATAGTGCACATAAGCAGATTCGAAAATTGAGTGTGATTGGGATCGCAAGAAATGAAATTAATAATTGTTTGTCCTACTATTTTAACCCCAGAAATTCGATGTGCCCGGAAAGACATTCGAAACAACAATACCACATGGGAAGAGATTGAGCCTTTTATTGTTCGTTTCAGTTCATTACTCATCTTTTTGGTAGTGTATTTAACATTGATAATATCGCAGGTAATATACTCAGACAGTACACCGTCGCATCGACTTCCGCTGCGCGTCGGTCGATACTCCCGCTTCGTGCATACTTTGAGCTATCCTCGTAATAACCTTTGATTATACATCTTTTCCTTCGACGAATACATCATGGGAATGCGGAAATCCAAAAAGTTTAGAACAGAATCAGCGAACTTTTTTGTATGGAGTCCGGTCAATTCCTGGGGGCAACCATGTTTGTTTTTATTATTAGACAACGCTTACGCACGTAATCATTCAATATTTTTGAATTCGCATTTCTTATATGCTTGGATGAAAATACCCCGTAAAATATCGCAAAATTACGGCACGCTGTGACGCGTGGCATTACGGTGACAGATGTATAATAATATCTTTTAAAACAACTATATATGTTTGTTTTTTAAATGTTACACTCGAACTTACCTTATTAATGTTTATATTTAGGAATACATTTTTACTTGATTATGTGAATTGTTTATTATTTGTTATGATTACTGTACATTAGTGCAAATTGCATGATCATGAAATGCATCATTTGATATATGTTGTTTTCAAAAATGATAATGTTAATGATTTTTTACCATTTCTTCAGTGTAAATACATATTAAAATGTGTCTCTGGTAGGAGCTATTTTCGATATTCAGTTTGTTTTGCGATGATAAACACTTTGTCAATACATATTTCTGGTGGAAACGATTTAAAAATGTGTGTCTAGTGAAATTCCTTTTCAAAGAGTTGTGATAGTTAACACTTCATTAAAATATGTCTTCGGTTGAGACAATTTTCTACGTGTCGTGATCATGAACACTTTCCAAAATGTGTGTCTAGTAAAAGCACTTAAAAGTGCGGTGATAATAATCATATTTTATACGTGTATCTAATGGAATCACTTTACATAATGTGTTATGTGCAGCAAACACATCCCTGAAATGTTGCAATAAAAGTGATTAATGTTTTTTTTACTATTTTATCAGTGTAAATACATTTTAAAATGTGTCCCTCTTAGGAGCTCTTGGCAATATTCAGTTTGTATTGCGATGATAAACACTTTGTCAATAGTAGTGTTGTAAAATAACTCATTTGCAATTTTAAGAAAAAAAACTCGATGTGTTTAATTATAAATCACTTTAAGTGATTTTAAAGTGGGGACACAAAATTGTCATATTTTAAAACACCTAGATTTACAGTGTAGGATTCTTCAATAAACGTTTTCATGTTTACATCGAATTTGCAATTAATATTCCAGCCAGAACTTTAGACTTTACAACATTCTAGCCACTTCTGAGGCAACGTGTTTGACTGTTAGTCTTATCCTTCAATATTGTTGACTTTCTTTTCATCGTTTACGAGTTTTTATCTGACTTCCCATTCAACGTTTGAAACTACAAAATTCTTACAAACATTTTCGACTATTTAATCAACTACCATTACACAATAACCAATGCATGCAATAAATCATTCTTTGACATGTAGCCCCAATTTACCATGCAATGTACACTATGTTCAACGGGCTGTCTATATATCACAGCGCATGTTACAAACACGTCTCCCATGTGTTTGCATGCTGATCATATAATTGTTTATGATCACTAATCGATAACTAGATATACGTTGTGCGATTCAACCCCATCACATGTGAAACCGTAGTTTATTACTGTGTATAGGCATATTCATACTGACACAATTGACGTGTGATGCGAAGATATTTATGTCTGACCTCCTCCAGATTTGTTACAGAATTACTTTAGTCAAGCAATAAAAACATTCACAGAATTACAAATATTTTAAATAACTCTAAATCTTGAATCTATATATTAGTCTCGTTTGCGGCCAGCGTATGGACATCATTATTGCAAATGTATGTGTCACGTTCATCTTCTAATGTATTGGATGATGGGGTGTTATTACACGTACAACACTTCATAAAGTTTCTTTGAATCTGGCTAGCTTGCTTTGTCATCAGCGTGTATAAGAATGGATTGGCACAACCATTGGCATATACCATACATATCACCACTACGTTTACGTATGATTGAGCAACAGTGAAGTTCCCCGAAGTTGAATAAAGATGCCAAAGTATGAAAACCCAAAATGGCGTGTAACACAACCAAAATACTACAATGATTATGAAAAGAGTTTTCGCAATTTTGCGTTTAGACATATTCAAGTTTTGGTTTTCTGACTCACTTGGTATAACTCGTGACCAGTATATTTTTATCAGTTTCGTGTACAATACGAACATAATGATTGAGGGCAAGACATAATCCAAAACGAATAACGCAGTTATGTAAGTTCTATAACTGGTCTCCATTGGCCATTCTTGGTAGCAATAATATGTATTCGAACCATTATTATATAGTTCATACACCTGTTTTGTATATACAAACATAGGAAGTGCACTGCAGGCTGCAAAAAACCAGATAAACAAACAAAACAATCTGGCGTATTTAGATGTACTGTATTGCATTGCACTTATTGGATGTGCAACGGCGAGATAACGTTCTATACTCATAACGACTAAAGTGTAAATACTGCTATGCATTGTCAGCAAATCTAAGCAGTAAATAAGTCGACATCCAACATCGCCAAATAACCAGTTTCGTTTATATGCAGATATTGCAAGAAATGGTGTTCCACTTATATAAAAGATATCGGCCATCGCTAGATTAATAATATATATAGCAATAGTCTTGTGTTCAGTCTTTGGTTTCAGGTTGATTATAATGACGTATACATTGCCGGACATTCCAATGACGAATATAATAATGAACAACACGATTATGAATATCTGCATCTGGGTAAGTTCCATGATGAGCGCTTTGGACAGTAATTCTGTACGATGAATTTAATGAATAATGTGATCACAGCCAAAATGTTCCTGTGAGGATGAAAAGATAATTTTCGTCAATAGTCGATAGTTAGTGATACACAAGTCACAGTATAATAATTATAATAATACATAGCAAATAGAAATGAAGTACGTTCTAATCTATTAATTTTTAAAACACTTTTTACATGTGAGCTTTTCGACGTTACGTAATTGCTTGGCGTATGAAGTCTCATAATGTATTCACCTCACGTTAAAGTTGTTGTTTACTCTTCAATGTCGCTCAATCGATGACGGAGGGGTCGTCACCTGCGCACGAGCGAAACCCCAAGCGACGATAACAACGCACGCTAAAAAAACAAAGGATCATGGGTAGACGTTTGTTTGTAAACAACGACATGCTCTTGTTGTCTGTCGTATACGCAGAAGACTAGTTTTAAGCATACGACATGTAATATAATCAGACAATACAGCTATGATATTAAAGTACTATAATATAGTATTATAATACAGACTTTTGGAGGGCAAAATTCGAAATAAAAGCTCGCTGGTGTTTACATATTGGTAGCATGTTCAATCGAATACTTCATTTTAGGTACGAGTGAAAAGTTGCACGTGCGTTACCAGAAATAATATAGTTATATGGTTTCAACTCAAACAAAAATAATCTTACTGTGGCCCAGTGACCCTGTGGCGACCGAAGGAACAACAATGTGACTGGTAGAAATAAAACGGATGCCTTTACGTCAAGGCAGTGACATACTCTTTTACAGTTTCCGAACAAATAAATATAGATTGGATAGAGCCTAATGTGGGGACGGCATCGACAGAAAGTGTGATTCGTTAAACCGGTAAATACTTTAGACTTAGTTAATAGTTAATCATTTATATTGGGTAGGTTCCGTATGGATAACTATTTTTTGTTTCATTGTTGACTGTTCAAGAAGTTCGTGTGGCGTACATTCGTGCTCCACATCATGCCCGGAGTGGCATTCGATTCCCCGGCGTACAGGTCATTCAATTATTCATTGAGTAGCTCTGTTAGTATTAACCCTTGGTCATGTGTTCAGCATATGTTCTTAGGCAGAAACATTTTTTATTCGCATGCTGCTTTGTTTTTTATAAAAGTTACGAAAGCGAAAATATGTTTGTTGTTAAAGTTACAAATTTGCTTTTAACAAATTACAATGACTAGAAAAAGTGCCACATAAAATCAAGGCTGGTTACTCAAACATTCCCCGTCCTTTTTGAAATTTATGATTCAAATTAATTATAAACTATTGTTGTCGGTATGATTGACATCAAGCTTATTTATTTTCATAGTTTATTAATTATGTTTGCAGGTATATTCAATATTTGTATGCAATATCCAGAACATTTCTCACATTTCTTTACATCTCTATTTGTACTGATTCTGCTAATATTCTACTTATATACTAACGTTCTGTTGCATACTATGTGGTAATTACGAGGATACCTCAAAGTATGCATAAAGGCAATACAGTGGTGAGTATCGACGGACGCGCAGCGGAGGTGTCTGTCTGTCTGTCTGTCTGAGTGCATACTTTGAGGTATCCACGTAATAACCTTATTATTATACAATTTTTCCTTCCAAGGATACAGAATGGGAATGCCGAAATCCAAAATGTTTAGAACAGAATCAGCTAACCTCTTTGTGTGGAGACCAGTCAAACTCTGGTGGCAGCCATGTTTGTTTTTATTATTAGAGGACACTTATGTGCGTAATCATTCCGTATTTTGAATTCGCATTTCCTCACACGGTAGGATGAAAATACCCCGCAAAATACCGCAAAATTACGGCACGCCGTAACTTATGGCGTTACGGTGACATATGTATAATAATATTATTTACAACATGTGTCATCGTTTCTACCTAATGTGAAATTTCATTCCTATTGTCACATTTCGTTTATGTCAGATTTGTAATAACGAAATAATATGTGATTTAACAAACGCGGATATTCACCAGACGATTCCCGGATTGCATATAACCAAAGTTGTTTTTGTTGAAAAAAAAGTAGTCTGTGGATTCGCGTAAGAAGAATGATCAAATTATACGAACATTTACATATCAACTTAGTCAACATAAAAATTAGAAATATTGTATTCAAGAACTTAAACAATATATGGTACAGCGGTGATGCTAGCATTGCATTTTAACCGCAATTCTATTCAATGTGATCGTCCCAGATGGGTTTTATATATTAGTATAAAGTTACAATTAACAGTCAGGTCAGCTTACCTGTGATGTAACTTATTTTAAAACGTGTAATACATGTAGGAACATATAAATGACTCAACGGTACATCGTTTAAGAAATCGTCTCGCTCAACTTTTGCTTTATATAATTTTAGTTCGCGGGCATATGGTGTTACGCATATTTCCGTATTTGGGGGGGTTACAGTGGGATTAAGTGGGCGTCTACTTATAGTGACAAGGTGCAGTGTTGTAGTCCTGAGTTCGAATCTTATCTTCGAGTTTATATATACGTGAAATCCTCGCAATTTACGTTCCTGCTACACCAAATTGACAGGACAGCTAAAATCATAAAAATATGTGGTTTTCGTATCTGAGTCAAAAGATCGTGTTATTCATATTAATATTGAACAAATCTAATAAACAATACTAAATAGTGTTGTTACAAATAATCATTTGTTCATGAGCGAAATTACAAACTATTGCTAATATGTCAAGAATTAAGCATTAAAAGGCATCTCATAGAAATGGAGTCATTACAATTTTTCATTGAAACTCCAATTTATGTTTTTCTTTATTTTATCAGTAAAAACTAGTAGCTTCGCGGTGAGTGGCTTTCGCAGTGGATGCATGTGTAAGGTGATTACATTTGCTAAATAGCCACAGAAATGTTTCTAGACATAAAGGGGTAGGTCTGCATGCGAATGAGATGTGGACGAATCTACGGAACATTTAGTGGAACTGGGAATGCGATTAGCAATGTGATATTTTTTTGAAATAAAGGAGAACACATGTCAGTTGATTAATAGGGGTAAAACGTGTAAACAATGATCTGTTATTCTCTAAAGGTTACTGACCATGCTTTTATAACAACATAGGCATCGTGGGACAGCTTCAATATAGATGTGAACACGGTGGTGCACACACCGTACCAAACGATCCCCTGAGACGGTCAATTTTTCTATTGTACATTTTTTTACTATTCCGACTTTAACACTCGAATAACCATTAAATTGGATGTCTAAACATAATATATTGTTCAAAATCTCCACTAATTAACAAGGAAACATCGTAACAAATTTGGATTATCGCTGTTGAATCTAGGAATTATCGATTCCATTACAAAACAAGTCAGTTATACATGTAGGAACTAATGCGGGTTATGATCGCTTGCAAAGTGTGGTTATCCACGTGCATTCGAGTATATTGATGATACAAGATCTGCTTTTGTTTTGTTTTTTTAGCTACGACTAAATTTACAGATTGGCTACTGACAACAGTGTCGCTCATACCGAAAAACAAATGTATACGGTTTTCTGGAAGTATACTGTAAACGACATACCCGCATATTAATTCAGTTTAGGTGTGTTTTTCTTATAACTCATTATTATCACAAAATCTCAATATTCCACTATGCTATAGTTCATGTGATCCATTCGTGCGCACTATTGATTTCATTTTAATTTGATGCAATATAACATGTGTTTACTTTATATGAATTTTAGCATTACCTTTAAGACCGTAATGCAGGTATGATTCACAATCAAATACAGACACGGTCGAATTGAATTCCCACAACAATGCTGGTTACGTCACAAATCACCGGTACAAAACTACAAGGTACTACTCGTAGCCAAGACGTGTGTATGTATAATAACAAAACGAAGCCGTAATTAGATACAATATGTAAATGTAACCGTAAATCCTAAATAAATGCTGAATGTGTAGTGATACCGATCGTTTGTTATATTTGCTCTAATTCTCAGGTATTTGCTTTAAAAAATAAACATAATAGTGTGTTATTAATGACGGTTTTA